AAACCAGTTCCTTACTGGTTTATACTGGTTTATACTGGTTTATACTGGTTTATACTGGTGTGGGGCTGCTGGGGGCTTACTGGGATGAACTGGGATGAACTGGTTTGATGTTTTAGAAGGTGCAATTCCCCTAACCACCACTGGGGGCAGCAGCGCCATTAACCCCAATGAACTGGGATCAAACCAGTTCCTTACTGGTTTTTACTGGTTTGAACTGGTGCAGATGCAGTGGCTGCCCGGCTGCTCGTGCCCGCTGTGCCCCGAGTGCTTCCGGCTCCATTTCACCGTGGGGCTGCGGGAGCGGGGGGTGGAGGCCCTGGGCTGCCCCAGCTGCGGCCGGCCCGACCTGCGCGACGACGCCCAGCGCCTCTGGTACTGGTCCACGCTGGAGCCTGCGGTACTGGTTTATACTGGTTTATACTGGGAGGGCCTCGGGGGGGCGCCGGGAGGGGCTGGAGGGGGGTTGGGAGGGGTTTGGGGGTGGTGGGAGGGAGTTAAAGGGTTAAAAATGGGAGAAAAATGGGGAAAATTGGGATTTTTTTGTACTGGTTTGTACTGGTTTGGTACTGGTTTATACTGGTTTATACTGGGAGGGGACTGGGAGGGACTGGGAGGGGATTAGGGGTGGTGGGAGGGAGTTAAAAGGGTTAAAAATGGGGGGAAAATGGGGTTTTTTATACTGGTTTATACTGGTTTGGTACTGGTTTATACTGGTTTATACTGGGAGGGATTGGGAGGGACTGGGAGGGGGTTTGGGGGTGGTGGGAGGGAGTTAAAGGGTTAAAAATGGGGAAAAAATGGGGAAAAATGGGGAAAAAATGGGGATTTTAGGGTTACTGGTTTATACTGGTTTAATACTGGTTTGTATTGGTTTGTACTGGTTTATACTGGGATGGGACTGGGATGAACTGGGAGGGGATTTGGGGCTGCTGGGAGGGAGTTAAAGGGTTAAAAATGGGGAAAATGGGGAAAAAATTGGGAAAAAGGGGATTTCGGGGTTACTGGTTTATACTGGTTTATACTGGTGTGGTACTGGGTTATACTGGTTTATACTGGGACGGCGCTGGGATGAACTGGGAGGGGATTGGACCAAACTGGGATGAACTGGGAGGGGATTTATGCGTTAAAAAGGGAGAAAATGGTAAAATTTATCTTTTTTATACTGGTTTATACTGGTTTATACTGGTTTATACTGGTTCATACTGGTTCATACTGGTTCATACTGGTTTATACTGGGAGCAGCTCCGGCGCTGCCTCGACCCCGACACCTTCGGCCTCGTGACCCGGAAGTTGACGGAGCTGGAGCTGCAGAGGGACCCCCAGTTCCTGTGGTGCCCCCATGTACTGGTTTATACTGGTTTATACTGGTTTATACTGGTTTGGTACTGGGATGAACTGGGAGGGGGTTTGGGGTTACTGGGATGAACTGGGAATGGGTTTGGGGTTACTGGTTTGTACTGGGAGGGGTTTGGGGTTACTGGTTTGTACTGGGAATGGGTTTGGGGTTACTGGTTTGTACTGGGAATGGGTTTGGGGTTACTGGTTTGAACTGGGAATGGGTTTGGGGTTACTGGTTTATACTGGGAATGGGTCTGGGGTTACTGGTTTGTACTGGGAATGGGTTTGGGGTTACTGGTTTATACTGGGAGTGGGTTTGGGGTTAGTGGTTTATACTGGGAATGGGTTTGGGGTTACTGGTTTGTACTGGGAATGGGTTCGGGGTTACTGGTTTATACTGGGAGGGAGTTTGGGGTTACTGGTTTATACTGGGAATGGGTTTGGGGTTACTGGTTT